AGCAAAACGGGGAGAAAACTGCAAATGATAGTGTGCAGAGATGTAGCCTGAATTCACCACAGACTCAACGGTACGAAACCTGACATTTTGCCATCTGTTTGTCTCCAACAAATGTCATCTCTGGAAGATTTCTTGTCCCCTCACCTCCTCCTCTTCCCAACACCCACAGGATCGAGCAGTCTCTGACCTGGCAATGCTGCTGGGCCTGAGTGGCTGAGCTTGAAGCCATCTCATCTACATGGTGCTGCTGCTTGGGCCACGGCCAGCAGACCACAGCGGTGCAGCACCCGCAGGCAATGCCAAGGGACACCCTGTGCAGAGCACACCTGGTGTCCACCACAACAGCATCTCACTGGGTGCTTCTACTGTGCTTAACATCTCGGGATCTGCATACTAGGTGACTGACACAATAAAAGGAAATGGGGTTCAAACTTCCCAAGGGATTGAGGGCAAGCGTGAGTCACCTCCATACAGATTTTCAAGCTACCAAATCGGGCCACTGACCTGTGGGTAAAACAGGGCCAACCATATCTGTCCAACTTAAAAGGGTGTTCCCTGCCGTAATTATTTTATAAAATGTCTCAGGACTTCAGATGAAAGGAGACAAATGTTACTATTTATACTACCGAAAATGAAGTGTGCAGCTCAATTCTCTTAGGTAGCAATGAGATTTCTGATCACTTTACCGGAACCTCAGTTTGCGCCTCCTTCCTAATCCCCACCCCGCCCCAGAAATTACAGCTACTTCAAACCTTCTCACTTACTGCACCTTCCTGAACTGGCGGATCATCTTGCTTGTGTACTCTACAGGGACCAAAAAACACCCTGGTTCGTCCCGTGCCAAGACACATGGCTGTTTGTACTGCATCTGCCTGCCATCTTCAACCTATTTTTGTTTCTCTTTGCATTGACAACTTAGCATTGTTTTCCAAAACCGAGCAGAAATAGAAGCCCTACAAAGAGGCAAACTGTCAAGCCGAAGCAGTAAAGGCTTTATGGCTCCCCTAACGCTTAGCATAAAGCAGTAAGGAACATTGGAAAGTTAGCTGTAACGTCTACGATTAAGTGCAGTCTCTTAGCACAGAAGATGCACGTTGCTATTTCAGTCACGACAGTTCACACGCAACTGTTGGGCTGAACTACTTCCAAGCAAAAAATAGATCTTCTTAGTCCACGTGCTTCAGAATACTGAAGCGTTTAAAAAAAATTAACAAAAAAAAGTATGGCTGAGGGAAGTTTGAGCCAAATGAACCACGGAATATTTCACATGAGCAGGAAGGTAAGCGCTGCTCGGAGCTAAGTGGTTAAACTGTTCCAACAGCAGGGATAATGTATCAATTTTTTTCCCTAGTATTTGGGTACTTACTGAGCAATTCATCAACGCGATACACAATAGCATTTACTGCGTGATCCATTTTCTAACGAACCACCCAACCGCCATCACCCCAGTGTGCAGAACGCCGACCAACAGCATGTGCCGCAGTGGCAAAAGGGCACGTCCGAAAGGTGGTGAAACAGAGACGTGCCAGCAGAACGGGGCTGAGAGAGGTGGAGATCTTGGGAACGTGCCCCAGGCCTTCGGCAGCTAAGGTCTGTCCAGCCTCCGAGAACCGGGACGGGCGTGCGGCGCTCCTCACTAAAAGCCGTGCGGGTGAGCAACGCCTCTGAAAGTATCTGGGACCCAGGAGCCAAAAGGGGACAACACAACTGCGAAGAGTAGCATTAATGAGGAGAAAAGAACTCAGGTACATAACAAACTTTTAACGGCCTTTTCTTTACCTGTTTGTATTCTGCCTACGAGCTCCAGATTCCTCCAAGGTGTAACAGCATCCGGCCCTCACAGCACGTTCACCCTCTTTCCCAAACGACACTGTGGCAAGGTTTCTATAAAAAAACCCCTTTTCCCTGCCTGTCGTTGAAGATGTCACATCTGACTGTCTTTACGTTTTATAATACGTCAGCCAGGTACTGCTCCTGCCAGAAACCCAAATCTTCTGGGTGTTCCACATTGTAACAGCTTATACAATTACTGGGTTGTTCTTTTGCTGTTAATAGTCTAAGACACTGAAAAAAGGAGAAAATGCAAGTCTTGCCCACAAAGTACTATGTAACGACTCCAGCCACTGCACGCATTTTCATCTCACAGATCCAGCTCTCTAAGGAAATAATGCTTCTGCAGCTGAGTTAAGGACCCATTTTCACATCCATTCCCTTTTCTGAAGCCACTAAAGGAAAATCAGAGTGATGCACTTTTTAATGACTTTGGCATAACTAAAAGAAAACTTCACTCATAAAAAGAAGCCTGGTTTCTCTCCTTATTTGGCAGTAAAACATGTGCTGATTGTGAACATGGCTTGAATACAAAGTACATTGTAATTGAGCTGTATAAGCTTTTCAGTTTTAAGATGGCGCTTCTACTTTCTCGCTCTCCCTTGTATGATCCAAAGACTACAAGGACTTAAAATTCAGGGTTTCCAGTTGTTTACATAGCAGACTAAGACAGTTGAAAACCTTATTGTTTAGGAGCCATTATTCATCCACAAATTAAAAGAAAAAGTAGCAGCAAGGGTTATACTTTGCTTTCAGTGATATTTCAATGCTGAGCTTCCATATTATTAGTTCACGTGTGTTGAGAAAAACACCCTGGAACAGCAAAATGATTACTGTACGTGGGACGGCAGTCGGTCTAGTCCTCTGTCCTCTCCCTTACCGTGACTTCGACTAGGCATTTTACATAAAGAATCCTGTTCCCGTCTGGTTTGAGATAGGATGTCCCAAGGGAGTTTTCTCCTATTGCCCAATAACTTGGAGACTGGCCTGTGTCCTAACTCCTTTCCAAAAACTCTTTCTTTTTTTTTCCTTTTAAAATTTTTGTTGCCAAACCTTGAGTCTGCTGCTTCTCTTCTAGACCTTACTAAGCTCTTGGCCATACCATTCCCCCCACGGGACATTTCTTTTCCACAGGGCTGTGACAAGGCGAAGCAAATGGCGAAACTTAAAAAAGTAACTGGAAAAATTAATAGAAAAAAAATAATCATCCCTTACTCTTAAACGAGCAAGTGACCGAGTTTGGCAGTGGGAATTCCCCGCGCAAAGATCCCAGAGGCTGGCAGAATACGGCAAGGGGGCACCACTGCCCACCTCTTCTCTGCTCCTCCGGGGACATCAGCTGCCGGCAGCAGGACACGGGGCCACAGCCCAGACGGGCCGTCAGTCCCGTCCGCCCGGCCCGTGCCCATACCAGCACTCAGCACTGAGGGTTTCATCCTTCCACCTACAGGGATGAACCTCGCCGGCATGACCGCCGCTTACACGGCTTGGGCGCAACATGGAAGTCAGTTGGGACCGCGCAACCATGCAGGACAGAGGCAGCAAATCTGCGCTCGCATTCCCCGTTATGTTCCCTGACGCACGGAGAATTTATGGTGGAAATCCAGGAGAAAAAACAAAGCACGGCAACGTGGTGTAATAGGCTAAAAGGTATTTAATTGTTTATACAGTCACAGGGAACCATTGAACTAATAAATGGGTTGTTATTCCTGTGAGGGGAGGACAAGGGGACATTAGCTCATTTTTTTATTAAATTAATACCAGATTAGTGTGTTTAATTGATCTAAATTGTTCTAACCCAGCTGAGGTTGGCATGTTCAAACCAGCTTGGTGCAGGCAGGTCATAATTGATTAGTTATTTTCCTTAGCCAGCTCAGGGAATTTGAGAAGAATCAGGTGCACCAGAGGAGCAAAAAGGCGTAAGAGACCGACCGCTTTTCCCTGGCCACTTCTCTTCCCTTTTCCACTTCACCTCTGCTGTCGATCACTACTGCCGGCCAGGGCCGAGCCTGCCAATCACTCTGACACTCCGCATTTCCCACACCAGAGACTCTCCTGTGAAAACTGTTGACTCGTATTTAAATATTACTCCTCACAGTATTATTTTTTACTACCCGCTGTAGAATTTTTGCATGCACAAGACGAACGCTCGTGAGGACCTCATTTAAACAGGAACAGGAGAGAGTTGATAAATCTAGTGGTGCGAGCGAGAGGAGCCAAGAAGCGAGAGACCCCCGTGCGGCTCTTCTACCCACCCACTGCGCCGAACGCGCGACTTGATGTATCGCATCCTCTGCGTACGCTATCGGCACCCGGCCTTACAGTACGCTTGACATTTTACAGAATAAAGAGATGACCTGGTGACCCAGGCGGAATAAAACAATAGTTTGAGGTGCAAAGCCACTGGGACTTGGCACGTGGAGCTGCTGGAACTGTTGCAAGACTGTTCTTATGGTCAAAACTAGCAATAAAGAGGAAAAGGAAAACTAGCAATATTACCGCTGCAATCAGATGGGAATGATCTTCCACCTGCAGAGGCTGTTTAGATCTCTGGAAACACGGTGTTGGTCACCGCTGGTCCCTCAAACCACCGAGCCGTAAGCGTTACCAATGTGTGGTGGGAAACCCAGCACGTTCTCTTTTCCCCGAGACCCGCACGGGGTGGATGAAGAGGGACACTGATCCAAGGACTCCCCCAGTGCAGCAGGTGATGACAGCCCCGCAGCCACCATCCTCCCCCTCGCCAGCGTGTGCAGGCTGTACAGGCTCCCAGCCCTTGCAGAGACGCTCTGCTTGCAGAGGGCTTTGCCGCAGCCCCCAGCGCAGGTCCTGGGCACCAGCGCGGCTGGGACCGACTGGGGCAGGGAAGAGCTGTTGTGTGGGGCGATTACCGCTTCCTCCCGAAACATCTACGTGTGCCGAGCCCAAAGGATGGAACAAGCATCACTCTGCTTAACGGCTCCATCCCCACAAGAGCATCTTTGCAAACCGACTGCAGGGAGGAGCCGTGCTGGACCAACAAACAACTGTCCTCAGGAGAGGGTTTCCTCCTCATTCGCTTCCCTCTCCTGGACTAGGGATTTCTTCACTCAGATGATGCTGGAAAACCGTCACTATGTGAAAACTCCCAGTGCCACGGTCAAAATAAGCGGAGGAAGGGGCTCGCTTACCTTGCATTGTCCCTCCCGTGTGATTTCAGGAAGTTCATATCACGGTATCTGGACAGGAATGCTACTAGTTGGTCATTTGTCCTGCAAGAGAAAGAACAAAAGTTGCACAAATTACACTGCGAAAACTGTGTTTACAGTAATTTCTATACTTCTTGTTCTCATTTGGGGACCATCCGCAGTCTTTGAAGGAGGCAGTTGCTGAAAAAACTTCCATCCTGCTGCTAAACTTCACTGCCTGCCTCTGCTCTGGAAAGCGTATTTGCAAAGCAGCCCAGCTTTAGCACATCCTAACGGATTTCAGATCGACGCTTGGCAGATGTTTTAAGCATTGTAACAGAGTACGTATTGAGTAATGCTGCTCAATGCTTTCTAAGGCTGAAAATCCAGCTGTGAGACGACGGCACTCATAGTCCCATTTTACATGCTTCACTAGGTCTTTCCTAGGGAATTTGGTTAAGTATCTATTGGCATTTTATTTGTTTTCATCCTTGTAATAGAGAAGAGGCCAAGGTTGGAATGTATAAAGCAAGAAAATTTGGATGTCAAAATCCCAATATAATTAATAGGAACAAAAGGATTTAGAAGGTTAATTCCAATTAGTATGATTGGCAATCTGACACCAGTATTTTCAAAATTTCAGCTGACATGTCCAAGAATGTATTTACGCTTGACAGCTTTTGTGGTCTGTTATTTCTTTAACAATGCAGGAAAAACGTTCTCTATTTATCTGGGTCAGCATATTTAGGAAAACTGAATAAATCATATTAAAAAGATCTTCATCTCCTGAGTCGCATTCGAAACCACATTACAGATACAACCCCATTTAAGCAATGGTCTGTAATGGACTTGATGGCAGAAAAACTAAAGTTCAAACAGTTGTCTCTAGTACTGTATCTTGAAGACGTTTCATTATTACGAGCCACAGAAAACCAAGTTAAACCAGAGTCCTGTACAAAACGTGTTTAACTTCTGGGGGCAGGCTGCAACGACTTGGAAACGTTACCAGCCCAGCAAACTATCTTCGTATCTCGTAAAGCCAAATTCCTCCGTCATCACAGGTAGCATGTCGTTACTGAACTGACAAATAAAGAACAAGTTAAGCGCTGCTTTTATCTGGGCCAAATGAAGTATCTGCCCATCAGCCAGCCCGAAGGACCAGGCTGGAGGAGCCCGAGACCCTCCTCCTACGCTCGCTCCTGTGAGCGGTAATACCTCCCAGGGTCAGACTGCATCTCAATTTGGCATCCTCGGAAAACTGCTTTCTGTACGGTAAGCTGTGCAGATTTTCACATTTGCTGCTCCAGTGATTCTCCATCTTACTGGGATGAATAGGCATTTAGTGAATTTACTTAGCAATGCTTCCACATGAAATGTTTTCAATGGCTGACATCTTCGGGTGAGTTTCTAGGCAAAAGCTGGCACGCAAAGATGATCTTTAGAAATATAACCAAGTTTGGAAGTGCTCGCACTTTAATTTCCTTACAGGATAAAAATCAAATCAACCGAAGTAACAATCCACACCATTCAGTAAAACACCATCATTTCCAGATCGCTCACCAAGCTATGTTTCGCTATTCAGCAGTGCTCTACCAAGTGCGTTTGGACTCGGGGCTGCCATACAAACTTTTCAAGGCTTCGATAATGTTTATAAACACCCGTATGATTTTTAGCTCTCAAAATAATTAAAAATTGACATTTTCCCACTTCTTGAAAGCATTGCTGGCATCTTGGTCCTACTTTTAGTTTTTTAATTTTTTTTAAAAAAAGAAGAACTTGTACAGAGTTTCACTCTTTGTCAATTAAGTATGCTTCTTTTCATGTGTTGACAGCACGGAAACAAACCATCACATTGCCATTTGGTAAAACTTTCTAGTTATTTGACATTTAGATTTATGCGGTCAACCAATTCTGCGCTCAGCATGGGAGCACGCTGAATTTCTATTAAGCTTTCATTCAAACTGCTTCTCGTGGCCCCAATATCACAAGGATGCTGCGCACCACCTCCGAATAATTCCACCGCGTGACATTCAAAAGAAAATCAAAGGTACTGAACACGCCTTAGATGCTAATGCAGTTGCTAAAACCCTCCTCACCTTTCAGAAAACTTTGCCTTCAGGGGTTTATCTCCTGAGCGCCTCTGGCACAGCTTGCTACCACGCTGCCTCATGCACGGCGGCAGCAGTCTCCATGCCACCGCAGTGCCTCTGGCACCAGCCATTTGCAATGCCTCTGGCACTCCTTCTGAGAAACACTACAGGCGGGGGCCTAGTTCTTCTCTAAGGCAATGGAAAGCTGAGATTTTCAGCTGAAGACATCACTGGGAGCAGCATCAACTCCACACTGCCAAATTAAATTCTGCTAGAGCTCCACAAATTTCAGGGATAATTCACTGAGCATAAATCTGGCACAAAATCTTTCACTAACCATCACGCTGTAACAGAAAGTAACAAGTGCAACATATTTCTAGCATCTCCTTCCTAAGAAGGAAATAAAAAAGTCATGGGGATAGGGAGAGTAGTTCATACTACTGATTAAAACACGCTAATATCCATACTACGTTCCTATCAGTTTCCCTAGCGTGTAACACGGCAGGAACACAGACCCAGGAGGGAGCCTCTCCAGCGCAAGGCTGGAGCTGACGGATGCGTCCGCACAGCTCCCGCTTCCACGTCCTTTGGTTCTTAAATTCACGGGGAGGGTGAGGCACCAGGAGAAGGACTAGCCAGCTGGTTACCTGTTAGCGGGGAGGGAGGACGATGCAAGAGGAGAGAGGCTGGAGAAAATGCGCAGATTTCAGGTGTGCAGCACGCAGAGGGAAACGGGAAACTCATCCCGCAGCGAGCTCCCGGTGCGGAGAGGGCTCCCACGAGGGGATGACAAGTGAAAAAGACCGATGGGGAAACAAAGCGGTTTTGACTTCACTGATGTAGATGTCTGCCAGCTGGGACGGAGGGGTCCCTCTCCCCCAGAACCGTACCGAGGTCACCGCAATACGGCCCTGCTGCCCCCCCCCCCGCAGCGAGGGCGGACGGAGGCAGCGGGGCAGCCCTTGCAATAACTTCAGAACACGGCGCACGCACTGGGGACTGAAATGGAAATCTGGAAAGAGAAACACTGACTTTGCGTTTGCGCTGTCTGGACGCGCTGGCAGGTCTGCCTGGGAAGCGGTACGAGTGCGTCCCCGCGCACAATCACGGCCAAACGCCGCGGAGAACAAAGGGCAGTGCTGGGCTTGCTGGGTTCAAGCAAACCTTCCAAGTCGTGGTGACTAACTCAAGCAAAGAGCAGAGATCCCCTTCGTTTACAGCTGTGAAAATAGCGTAAGAAAGTCTTTGGAGAATCTGAGAAAAGGAAAACAAGCGGTTGTTACTTTTGGAAGATGGTGAAGCCTAATATAAACGTCCTTGACTCGGCAAGGTACTTTAACGCACGGGCGACTTGAAGGCTGTAAGGTATCGCAGTCACTTCAAGGGGACTATTCCTGTGTCAAAACTCACACAACTGCATAGCAACGTGGCTAAGCCAGATCAAAAGTTCAGAGACTTTCGGCAGCGCACAGGTACGGAAACGAGATAGTTTCGCTCTGTGTGGGAATCAGATGGAGGAAAGAGCAACCGCTGTGGTGGATCCTGGGGCTGGGCTCTGCCATTCCGTGCTGCGGGGGCTGTCCCTGCGTGGCGAGAGGGGACCGGGGACCTGCCCAGGCACCGAGCAGGCTGTGCCAGACCCCGCTGATTACAACAGGCAGCAGTGACAGTAACAAAAACCTGCCCGGGGACCACAGATTGCTGCAACCCCAAAATGCCACCAACTTAAGTGACACCCAGCCCAGCCTCCAGAGCCCACCCACAGCGATGCTGCGGCAGAGGCAGCACTGCCAAAAATCTCTCCCGGTTCCTGTTCTGCTTCAGCGGGCGAAGTCGCAGGTAGGAAGGTTCAGCTCGCCATCTGCTCCGAGTGAACTCACCAGTCAGGTCTTCAAAAACGTCCTCATTTCAGGTAAATCCCTGGATGGGTTTATAAACTATTCCCTTTCTTAAGGACCAGACTGGGCAATCTTGTTCCAAACCTCACGAGAAGTGCTAGGGGCTGCAGTGCACCCGCGTACCAAGCATACCTACCAAGTATAGATCGTCTCTCTGTCTCCTAGTCACTAATTTCTGATCAGAAAGGTAAGGCTAAATAAACGTTTTTAGATGTTATGCATATATACAGTGTTTCTGCTTGGAAGGCTGCTCTCATACTGGAGAATACCGGGGACAATGAAGGCAAACGCGCAGTCAGAAGAGGTAAGTCAAAACTGTTACAAGCTCTCCCGGTGCCCAAAGCTGTGGGATTTCCACCCACGCCCTCCTGACTCCTCTCCACAGTTTCCTTTCCCAGGATGACTGCGCTGCGCGAAGGCACAGCCCTGCAGAGCCCCGATGTACCGCAACCCCGGCAGCACTTTGCCAAGAAACTATTTCTAGAAGGTCCCTAGAGAAGAAAAAACTTCAGAGAAGAAAACTGGAATTATGGGGCAAACTCAGCTACTCGGAGTTAAGGATGATGTTACTCCGTGGCTGAACACGCAGATGTGCACACAAGAGCCTGGAAGTGGAAGAGCTGAGTGCCTTCGATTTTCCTACCTTCTTCCCAATAAATTCTAATAATTATGACTAAGCTCATCGATTTTGATAAATGATTAATTTAATCTTACTTATCACGTTATTCTGAAGTATTTGCCAGGAGCCCCATGGCAGAGGAGAGCTCCCGCTCCAGCATCCGGCGGCGGGGGCTGTCCCGTGCCCCGTGCCTGGCCCTCCCAGGGCCGGCTCCCC